TCAGCTTGTAACACTCCAAAGAGAAAGGAAAACTTGAAATCGCATCATATGACCCCTTTAATAGATATAGCCTATGAACAGGAAATTATTTTTTTCATTAATTACAATAACTTGCTCGAGAACTCCGGCCTGACGCACGCGGGTTCTCGCGTTATTTCTTTATCACTTCTCGCGTGTGTTTTGTTGTGAAACGTAGTTTGACAGACAATTGAGTTTTTTTTTCAGGGTTGGAGCTAAACTCTGCATGACATCGGCACTCCAGGACCGACGTTGCCTACCCCTGAACTATATGCACTAGAACAGTGGTTCCAAACCCTGGTCCTGGAGGCATCTCAACACTGCATGTTTTGCATGTCTCCTTAATCAAACACACCTGTAAAATCTGCATTAAAGTTAAGAATGTAAAGATGAAGTTTAATTGCTTATGTAGCCTAACGTTTCATAGAACGGCAGACAGGTCACCCTATCAACACTCAGAAGGCACATACTCTGAACGTTTTTAGAGAAATAAAAACAGGTCGCACGACAACAATTATATGCACTTGCACAAATGCTCCCAAATATATTTTGAGGTCGCACAGATTCAATTTTGGGAGCATATGCGACCATAATGGTCGCAATTTCGAGCCTTGGAACACAAACAAAGTGTTCAACGCACCACCGTTTCCGTTTAAAAAACGTTTTGCACCGTTTTGTCGGGACTGAACGCAGCCCTGTACTTGTTTTTGAATATTAAATCTATTTGTAATATATTGCATTTTAGGCTTACTGATAATGACTGCTAAAGTCTTTTAGTAGACAAAAACTCTGTAAAACAGTATTAAAGTTGTGAGTAGTAAAAATGAAGGGATCTAGGACATTTATACAGTGCATGTCAATGTCAAGACTGTAAGTCTGTCCCTCACAGCCTCGTTTTTATTTTTTTATTTTTTTAATATGGTGTCTAACCTGACTAAAGTCTATATACGGGAAACTTCTTATCTCCAGTACCAGCACCAGGAACAAAACTTTCACCTGAAATGATCTGAAGTCTAGTTTGGCAAAAGAGAACATAATGAAAACACAAAATACTTCAGGAGGGATCAAGGCCAAAATATCACTGATCAGTCAATTGCAGCACTGATTCACAGTACTTGATGAATAGCACATTGCACTATAAAAGAAGTCAAGTATACTCAGTCTTGTACCTTTGTCTTGGAAAGTCATAGAATGAATAGAAAACATGTATGTAACAGGCCAACATGAATGAACTGAGGTTATTAAGCCAATATATATATAATTTTAATTATGCATGTTAAACACACTTTAAAAAAAATAGAACTATTATTTTCTACACAGTCCATATGTTATAAAATGCCGTGATACAGTAGATGTGGGTGGTAAATTATTTGTTGAGCCTGTGATCTTGTACCGAGAGGTGGCAGTAGCACATTACAAGTCAAAGAGAATAAAGATAACAAAAGTAAAGAGTGAATGACCATGAAAAGATCTCCCACACCTTAGTGCGCTGAGAAATTAACATTTTACTTCTTGTTAATTAAAGGACATGTCCATAAAATGACAGTCTGTTATTATATGTGCATGCTATGATTTATTGCAGTGATATGGAATCTCAAGGCTGCTGTTTCTGTAGGCTATGAGTTCAGTGACATGGACATTGTGAAGAATGTAAGAAATGTCTTGTGCTATCAGCTGTATATTGCATATTTTTCATATTTGGCACGTCGGGTTTCAAGGTCAACCGTGCAAACCTGCCATACAGTTATTTTTGATTACAGGTCTGATTGATTTTAATATCAATTACTCGTCTGACTGCGATGACCTTCCTTTATAACAATTAAATGACAAAGTATATGCACCGGCTGTACTGACAAGCTTCAGAGCTGTAAATATGCTCTAACTAAACATAACTAATTATTATGACCCATAACCTTTTGCTACACAAAATTGAGTTTGTCAACACGTACGCTGTTGCAGTTTTGGGATTCAAACGAGCTTTGAAATCTCATTTGCGTCATTTTTCTTTCTCTATTGCTCCCTGAATTGGCATTATAAAATTATGACAATGTCCCAAGACACCACAGGATGAATTTGCATAATAAACATTTTCATAAAGGTTGTAGCTGACATCAGCACAATGACTCTGAGAGGAATTCTCTCCCCATCACCTGCCGTTATTACACATTAATCCTCCAATTCCTGAGCCAGTTGTGATGGTTTGCTTTTGATGTTCAAAACAACGTATAGTGATATTAAGGAGTCTTTCCTCTTTGGTTATTACTTCTTGGGATTTGGAATCCTAAATCCTTCTGTGGTGCAGAGAGTGACTAAGGCCTATACATATGAATGAAGATTTACACATCAGGCTCAAAGAGATTGTGTTCAATGAGATGCCACTGCTCACTAGCTCCGAGGGCTGAGCTGAAGAGTAATATCCTACATTCAGAGCAGGGAGATTTTACTTTCCCTCAGACTTTGCTTTATTCTGATCTGCTTTCATCCATTGAAACATTTGTCAATCTGAAAATCCTTGGCTAACTCATCTGTGCCATCATGAGTCATGGGAAAGCTATATGTCTTTAATCATGGCTATTTTTGAATACTTCTGCTAAAATGTTTAATTGAGGAAAGTGTGCAATTACTAGACTCCTCAAAGTCCTCAAAGAACGCTTTAGCAAACAACAAAGCAACATGGCAAAAATCCTTTTGACTTTGCAACTGCATGGTAACTGCTCAAACACTTCTTCAGCATCCACATAGCAACTTGGAAAGAATGTCAAAAAACAGTCTAGTGACCTTGCCATACACTCTTAGAAAAAAAGGTAAGCTGTCAACGGGGTGGTACCCAAAAGC